TAACTATCTACTTTGTGACTATATACTTCCTGTAGGGATTTGTCCGTCCACAAGCAGTGAAGTTTCGAAGTATTAGTTGCCGCCACAGAAGGCAACAGTGTTGCCAACTTGACAGGTTTCCCGTTAGATTCGACGGGACAGCGAGGTTGGTAACGGGAAAAAATTGTGTTTAACGGCTAACGGATTTTTTACCGGGACAACAAAAATTTATGTTTTTTTAGATTTGTTTTCGAAATAAAAATAATTTGGAAAAGGCAAAAATTAAATTATAATTTTAGTCCTTTTTTTAGTTTAAAAATACGTAAATATGTGCAATAAATTCTTATCTTTAAAAAGTTGAGAGAGTAAATTTTCGTTTGACGTAATTCTTTTAAATACAGCTTGAAAACTGTTTTGTCGTTGGTCGGCCTAAATGATGCGCTACTGTTGAATATGTAGAAAACTATCAACTACTCTATTTATTTCATTCTCTCTCTTTACTGTTTGAGTCACATATCCTGTGAACCTGTGATATTCTTGTCTATGAGATCAAATGTACAACGTCTAACTCTAATCCACTTTTGTAATTATTGTTTCTCCTATTGAATTCTCAAAATAATTCTTTTGATCGATTCTTTTGATTGATGGATGTTTGATCTGTAATAAAAGTTTTTGTTGAAAAAGAAACAAGTCCAGGAGACTTTGTGGCATCTTGTAAATATTATATGTGTGTTGATTAAAACTACTTTTACGGATTTTATCGCGTTTATTTTTACTTTTTATTTACTTTTATTTTTAATTCCCGACGTTTCGGGCGCTTTTCCACCCAAGGGGGACTGGTCGCCAGTCCCCCGTGACCATGGGTGTGGAAAGCGCCGAAACATTAAAAATAAAAGTAAATAAAAAGTAAAAATAAACGCGATAAAATCCGTAAAAGTAGTTTTAATCATGTATAGTGTTCGCGTAAATATAAGAAATCTTTATATGTGTGTTGTAAGAAAATATAACAAATATTGACGAAGTGTACTAGAATGATTCGGTCACTAGAAATGAATGATTGACACTTGTCTACCATACTTGAGGGGATTTGACGGGATTACAGTGTTCTCTACAACGGAAGCTAGATTTTAATGTTGGAAACACTGGTAGGCAAAAGGACCAGTTCTTTACTCGTCTAATGTCGCCTCTACACGTTGGCCAACACAGTGGCGAATGTAGTGGCGAATATATTGGCCGAGAGTTGGTGACGGCGTCCACACGTTGGAAGGTCGTTCAGTTTACTTCGGTTCGGGCCAATGTGCGGACGAATTTATTTTATTTTAGACGACGGCTCCGTGGCGCAGTGGCTTAGCAATGAGTCGCTGTGCCGGGAGCCGCGGGTTTGAATCCCGCACGGAACAAGTATTTGTATATCCTACAAATAATTGTTTCGGGTCTGGATGTGTGTCCTTGTGCAATTTATGTTTGTAAGTAGCCTCCGCGACACAGGAGAAAATCCAAGTGTGGGGGGTAACGTTTTTATAAAATAATTATAAAAGAATAGTGAATATTAATGGGGCTGTAAATAGATATACGATATACGATTAACTTTATTTATTCTTTACATGCATCATAAACTGGAATAAATACCATTAATTAGAACCTAACTTATTTTTAAGTTAAAAGAGTTATAATCGATTAGTCTATGTTTTAAAATTTGGTTTTGATTTTAAAGTTTAGCAAAACATGTACTTGTTTTTCTATTAGACATTTGATCATTTGATATAAAAAAAACACCTTATAATTTATTTGGTGATATAATTATTTTTTGAGAAAGACAAAAACAATAGGAATAAATATAATTAACACAGACTTAATAATAGGTACTAATTATAACTTAGAACATAAATGAAAAACTCATGACGAGCAAAGTGGCTCAGGACCATGCTTTGTGGCAGTCTGTGGAGGAGGATATTCAGTAGTGGATTTGTGAAGGAGCTGTAATGATGATGATTATTTGAAAACTTGCACGATCAAATTATAAGAAATCGACGTTTTTTTATAGGATAGGGTGACAAACGAGCACACAGTTCACCTGATGGTAAGTGGTTACTGTGGCCCATAGACATCTACATCTATCCTCGATTACGAATCAAAATGCAGATGTGTTGTCACCCGTGAGGACTAAGATGAAATGCCTCGTTTTCTTTAAAAAGGGTCTCTGGTTCTCTACATTCATTATACGAAACACAGCATCATTAAGCTACTATTCTACGCTGATATTTTGTGAGAGCGTGGTCCTTCCCCGGTCGAGCCGACCCATTCGTGCTACAACTATACTTTAATATAACTGCATGGTTCTACCACGTATAAACGACGTGCTTAATTTTTTTTTTCATTTTAAAATTGTTCTCGTAATAATCTGATTGTAAATAAATGTTCATTATTTTTTTTTTGATAAATAGCTTTTCGATTAAAACAAATGTTTAAAAATAATTAAATCGCGCTACATAAAGTAGTAAGAATGTTTAAAGTTGAAATTGGGACTAAAAGGTAATAGGGGCACCACCCTACAAAGCATGAATATAACATTTAAATCAGGTGAGTGTAATCACTCTGGGAGCTTGTAGCAAACTAAACGTGCGCCCAACGTGTGGACGCAGCGGCCAAACTCTGCCAACAATCCTTTGATCTTGTTGTGAAAAACTGACACCACACGGATCTCGCGCCAACTTGTGGGCCATCGTTCCAATACATACCAATAAAGCCCAAACACCCGCTCTACACGTTGGCCAATGCTATTGGCCACTATGTTCGCCACTGTGTTGGCCAACATGTAGAGGCGCCGTAAGATATAAATGGCTACATTCGGCGAGAAAACGCAATCCTACGCGGGCCCCGTCTTTGCCCACGCAAACCCTAACATTTTAAATGAACTCCAAATAGTTCAGAACCTATTCTGTCGTCGAGCTGCGAACGCACCGTGGTACGTTCGTAATGCCGACCTTCATCGGGACTTAGAGCTCCCAACAATTCAACAATTTCTTAAAAAACTCTCTGAGAACTTCTTCAAAGCCTCAGAGTCGCACCCAAACCATTTAATTCGTGAGGCTGCTTCTTATGCAGCCCCACCCCCCCTCTCGCTATCGTGTCCGCAGGCCGAGAAACTCTCTCTCGGACCCGCCTAATAAACTTTCAAACGACCTGAACTGTCTTCTGGCGGCTCAGGCCAACTCTAATTAAATAAAATTATTGTAATATCTGACATTAATTTGCCTTCGTAGGCACTCCCTCAGCGGCACTTAGCCGCCTGCGCCCTCTTTTCCCAAAAGAGGGTCGCTCATGATAAGGCACAATAGAGCTTAATCAGCCGGTTGCCTGTCCCTAAAGGCGGTTTTTAGGGGGTATCACTTAGGGTCCCCGGTAGGACAGTGAGTCCCCCATAACCACGATAGACCGGCTATCGTGGTATGCGTAATGCATTTTCCGCCTCCCTACGTACAGGGTAGCCCTTTAATTGCTTCGGGCGCAAAAAAAAAAAAAAAAAAAAAAAGAGAAAACGCAGCCAGCCTAGGCACTGTACCTATCGTGTGGAGTATAACTATAATATGATAGTTTTAATTTTATTAATTAATTCCTATTTTAATAAATGATCATCACTGGTGAACATGGGCCTCTCTATGTTCACCAGTAATGATCATTTATTACGTCTTATTGATTGTGAATTATAAGTGAAAAGATTTTACTTTTTTCATTCATGTCTGCTCTATGTACATTTCGCTTACCAGTATCAGGCTACCACTCAAGAAGTTTTTTGACAGATTATGTTTGTTTTAACATAATATAGACCGCGTTTAATCCACCAACTCCCAAAAATCGAACATAATTTCTGTTTAAATTGTGTTGAAATTGAAACGGAACACCGCCTTAAAATACCAAATCTAGTGCTGCCAGCTTAGGGAATCTTCCCCTAAATTTAGGGAAAATATAGAACTCAGTGTTTAGTTATTTTAAAAAGAAATTTTTAAGGAAAATTTTGATTTAAGGTTTATATTTAAGCCCCTTCGATATTTCAGATTTTTATAAAATACGCTTTATTTTTGAAGGCTTGCATATGATATTTACAAGAAACGTATGTGGAAACATCGATTTCTGATATTTTGGTTCTCACTATAGATGGATCAATGTTTTATAGGAGACAATATTGTATTCTTGGTTTCAATTTATTAATTCCCTATCATATTTGTAGGTTTAAAATTTATCACAAGACCTACCAATTCCATCAAAAAACGCAAAAATCGGCCAACCCCGAATTCACGTAGTCTTGTTGCTTACTACCCTTATATAATTCTTACAATAAAATTTTTGGGAACTTCACTACCTGAAGTACAAGAGCAGTACGTGACTTCTTTCTGTTTTGATTTTTCGAATTATGAATAATCAAATCTGCTGTGCTTTGATTACCCTCGAAGAGATTTTTTCCCCTCTTCATTCAAAAACTTTGTTTCTTCGCAATTTTCTTACGCCACAGGAGGGGTCTTTCTCCATCTCCTTATCCACCTCCCCCAACACCAAGACCTTTAGCAGGATTTCTATTTCACGTGCTTTAAAAATTAGCGACATTTGATAAAATTTTTGATTTAATTTAAAAAAATGCCAGTAGTTTTATAAACGTACCTACGACTTTTGATTTTTTGATCTTCTTATAAAATACGATTTTTAAAATGACCCGTTGCATGATTGCTTATACTATAGATCTGGCAACCCTGCTTGGTGACAAGCCTAACATAAACAAAGAAAATCGTAAACGCTGAGCGCTGAGCGTGACGTTAATTTGAAAATTTGTACAAAAAAAAAACAAGCGAAACGAAGTGCGTGTGTTACTTAATGTTGTAAAACTATATTGTTGGTGTCTTAATTTTCTCAAAAATTGTCGTAATCTGAAAGTAAGTGTGATATCGCCAACGGAAATCCTACAGGAAATGGGGACCGACAATTCGCACACCCGGTGATTTCTAATGTAGTTTACTATAGGAAGGACCATGGGTACAACGTATAAGCAGTTGTTTAAATTATATGATTTGATTCATAGTGGTGATATCAGGTAAGATTGTAATATTTTCTATTCATAAAATCCATTCTCTTTCACAACCTTAGCTCTTTGTTATTCTTTATGTGTAGGTTTAGATGCGTAGGAGTTCCTTTCGAAAATTATATTTTTCTGTAACCATAAATGTGAGCCATAAATTTATTTTAGCCCACGAAATTAGTAAATTTTGATTTGATTTATTTTTACAGGTCGATCAAACATATTCTTGACAATGATTTTATAGAAATAAATAAAATATTACCATGTAAAGGTATTGGCATTCTACACTTAGCTGTGGGAATTGACCCTTTGCTTAAATCTAAAGAATGTACAGAAATTATATTAAAATGTGGAGGAGATCCAAATCTACGGTAAGTAACATACTTATTTAAATTATCATACCAAAAATTATCTGCTAAATTACTCGGAAATTTCAATTCACTGATTCAAAAAACTAACTCTCTAATTACAGACATTATAGAATTTATTTTTAGTAAAATAATTTTATATTTGTATTATCTTATATATGTATGGTTTTGCCTTCACAACTACATTGATTTTAATAAACACTCCATCTTCTGACCTATAGGATTTTTTTATTTATTCCCATTTTTTTTATATATATTTGGTAAAATTAGACCACAATTTATGTTATGACTCATTATCTTTAGCATGACGTTAATTAAAGAATATAAAAATCTGTCTTAAAATGCACTAATAGACAAGAATTGATGTTAGTTGATTGTTTATTCTATATTAATTAAATGTTAACTTCCCTTGTCTGCAAAAAAACAATAGTTAAACAATTGAAATATTCATATATTACACACGGGACAGAGAAATGATTAATTATATTCAATATAAGTACATAATATTTGTACTTATATTGAATATAAGTACATAGCCCAACGGATTAGTAAGCTGAAGTGGCAATGGGCCGGCCATATAGCTCGAAGAACCGATAACCGATGGGGAAGAAAGGTTCTCGAGTGGCAGCCTCGTACCGGTAGGCGTAGTTTAGGGCGACCCCCCACTAGATGGAGTGACGACCTGGTAAGACATGCAGGAAGTCGATGGATGCAAGTGGCCCAAGACCGTGCTTTGTGGCGTTAATTGGGGGAGGCCTATGTTCAGCAGTGGACTTGTGAAGGGCTGTAATGATGATGATGATGACATAATATATATAAATGTAGAAAAAATTTCTATTTTATTAATTTGCTATTTTTGTTATAAATAAAACTTGTTTAATATCAAATTCTTATTGTTTACTAACTACAACTCAACTAATTTTGAGGACAAATAAGGCAAAAAGAAGGCAAGATAGGTAATTTTTATCAATGGTGTTAGTAATAATTTTGGTCTTACAATACAATTGCCTTTTTATCCTAATATTCCTCTCTTGTGCTAATTTATTATTGCAATTTTTTTTCCTTTTAATGAGTTTTAGTATATCTTGGAGCTCACTTTGCCTCTTGGCAAAGGCTTCCTCTACCAATTTCCATTGCTTTCTGTCCTTTGCAACTCTTCAGTTTGTACCTGCTGTGATTTTAAGTTCATCCTCCCATCTTTTATGTTGTTGACCTCTATTTTGTTTACCACTTCTAGTGTACTATTCTGTCTGGATTTAATTGCATTTGTCCTGGAGGCTCCATAACATAATATGACATGCCCTTCTTCATTTTATTTGGTCTATCTTAGTGAGGCGAGTGAGGATGTCTGTCACTCTTCTGACATTATTTGTCTTCTATCTTATCTTAATCCAACAATTGATTTACCACAGTTCTGGTGGTCTCTGATAGATTTTCTCATCCAAAGGAATCAAAACTCCTTTACTTTTGAATGATTTTGATGTGCTTTAGTTTTGTCTTCCATTCGCATGGCTGTCCGTATGTTTATATCTTAAGATTTGTTTACACTACTATGTGACAAATGGTATCAGATCTCATGTATCCACTGAAATCAAGGGAACAGACTCATCATATCTTAATGTGGCATGCCCTTTCTATTATCATATTAATTTGAACAGTGAATATTGAGTACAATATCATAAATTTTTTGGTTTTGGTGTTTTCTACAAAGAAGTAGAAGAAGTTTGAAGAGGTTGCAGGTCTTCCAGAACTAGTGTTGTCTTTTACAGTCACTTTGAATGCTTTGTACTACTGCTATAGCTGCTTTAAACAGGTAAACAGATTGATGACCTTCGGCATATTTATTAAGGATGGAGCTAGCACCTTTGTTACTGGGAGCTCAATATTACTAGTTTCTTGCTTAATTACGTTAAATCATTAAAAAAAACCTGGGTTTTTCAAATAACACATTTCCTTTACTTTTTCAGTAAAAAGTAAACCACTTATAACATCTGCTTCATGCTACATCTGCTTTGATTAAATCATACAGTGTTTCCTACAGGAAAGGTCAATTGACACAGATTACATCATTTAGCAAAAGGGGCATTAAGGTACTTACATAGACCCTTATATTAATTTTAAACAAAGAATGTTGTCGTTACCATCATTTCTCTTCTACAGACCCTTGCTTTACATAAGCCCTTTTTCAATGGAGAGATCATAATTAGGAGATTTAGTGTAGATAATATTAGTAGATACCTCGCAACCCAGGCTATGCTCTCTAACACTGATCATTCTACCATTAGTTGAATGTCAAAAAATTATTATAACCCAAAGAAGTTTTTTAATATGACATCACTGTGGTTTGTCTTAATTTTTCAATTTTCAAATAATATTTCTTAAATTAATTTATTATGAATCAAGAGTCATGAGGTATGTTTGTTGTTTTTATTACTTACAAGCGATCTGCCCTGACTTCGCACGGGTGATATCTGGATTCACCAGTGCTACCTACCGAGTCCAACTATGCCTATAACCTGCGCGGATGTGCAAGCTATATGTTGACAAAGTTTTACTGCAGTATGATGAATGGTATGGCAGTGCATAAAATACAACTTTTTATATATTAGATATATTAGATATATCCTGATAATGCCTTAAGATGACCAGTCGGATTTATTATAAACAAATTAATATAATTGTGAAATAAGTATACATCAATCTAATCTCACAAATCTCATATAAATTTTAAGAATAACTAATGATAATTGGAACCATGTTATTTTTTTAAATAATCCATTCATAGACCATGTTGATAGTGTACTCATTCCATTAAAGGAATGAGTACACTATCAACATGGTCTCAATAATTATATACCCATATCCATTTTAATTGGAACTTTTTTTAATTTCTCCAATCACTTTTATTTCATTATTCAAATAAAATTTCACACAAAATATCAGTTTGTTTACATTTTTTAGAAATTAGATTTTACACATACATAAACTCACACCTGTCACACAGAGGGTAGGCAGAGACTACGGACTTCCATTTGGCACAATCCTGAAACACGTCTCTCGCTTCTTTCGCATTCATATATATACATTTTTTTTTTGTTAATTTGGCCCATCTTCAATACATTACCAATTTGGTCGATACACTGCCATCTGTCCTATAATATCTGTTGCATTTTATCTCTGATATTATTGTATTTTCTAGTAATGACGATGGTGTAACACCAGTTCACATAGCTGCAATATGGGGACGAGTTGATAACTTGAAGCTTTTGATTGGCTGTGGTGGTGATCCATCACAACGGGACTTAGATGGTTTATCCGCATTTGACTATGCGGTCAGAGAACAACAATGGGATATATATGACTATCTTCATAATGTGGAAGATCAAATGGATGACTCTTTGGCATCTCCTTGTGCTTATTCATTAGATTTAGGTAAGTATTATATAATAAAGACTATATACCAATATGAAATAAGCGTGATTATATTTAATGATTACTGTGTTGTGGTGGTGTAAGAATATACACTGTCTCATATCATTCCGTAAGTGTAGTAAAAGGCGACAGAAGGAAAAAACCAGGAAATGGGCAGCAGCGTCTTCCCAATAACAACTACAACAAAACTGCAGTTGCCAACCAGCCTGCCAAGTGTGGCAATTATGGCCAATATCTAACTTATGAGTTTTTGAGGTAATCTAAAGATAAGCTTATGTTTAGCAGTCAGATTTTTAATGATATTTATCGGCGGTGCGTGTGCGGCGCCCCCGCCGCCCCTAACTCCCCTCTTCCACCACCACCACACCACCGGCTTGCACGCGTACGGCGCGCACGCGTACTTGCCCACGTTCCCCATGCCCACGCCGAACATGAAACTAAAACTTATTACTGTAGTATAGACTATAGAACATAAGCTTGTGTTGGCTTAACTAAGGCAAAAGTAATATTTTAAATAGACAAATGAATTCAAAAATAAATATAAAATAGTGTGTTTTTCTAAATGTAAAACATAAGTTCATAAAAACTTAACATAAAAAACTACATATAGAAATTGTGTTTATATTATCTAGTATACAAATAAATAAAACTGAAGTGTATGTTTGTAAATTTGTAATGTCAAAATAACAGCTTTTTACTAAATGCATATGAAAGTAATCTATAATGTAAGTAATTACTCTAAGTGTAACAAAAAAACAGTTTTTAAATTTTTTGTCTGTGCGAACAAACTGTAGATTGTCTGTCTGGTTCTCTGTCTGTATCTGTATGATCCGGCTAATCTCCGAAACGGCTTGATCGATTTCGACGGAACTTGCGCTGGCAGATAGCTGATGTTAAGAAGTATCAGTTTTAAAAAATAATTAGATCGCGCCCTAAATCTAAATCAAAAATTTAAACCCCGTGAAATCCATCATAATCAATTCCACGTGGACGAAGTCGATAATAACAAAGTTATAATGGGTATGTTCCGAAATACAACGCAGTGTACTGTCCAATGCAAATGACGTCATGAATCGACGCCATACTGGTGATTCGTTCCAAAACATTGGACTGTATATGACGTCATACTTTTGCGCCATTTAGAAAAGTGTTGGCGATTATTTTGTCATTTTGTGCTCCAAAAATCATTATATCCTCCTAATGGATATACCATCAATTATTCTATAATTTTTTGTATTTGAATAAATAGAAACAAATTCTGGCGTGCTTCATTCGGCAAACACACAATTAAAAATTGTTTTATTATGGCCGGATATCCGACACAATATGGCGGCGGCACGCTATGACAATAAAGTGTCAAATGATACGTCATTTGCATTGGACAGTACACTGCGTTGTATTTCGGAACATACCCAATATATACCTACTCCACTAAATGACATGCATTATTTAATCAAATCACATTATTCTTTGTGTGAAAATGTGAATATACTAGCACACATACCTATTATTATGTTGTGGGTGTTGTAAGACAGATAGAGAGAGCTATATGAAACAGGTGATGAGAATTCTGAGAAAAACTCAATAATAATACAAAAACTGCGGTCGGCAACAAGCCAACCAACCGTGACACCTATGGAAAATACCGCGGGAATAGAAGCTATGGGGGGAGTCATATATTCAGATGGTTAACTTGTTGGACTGTTATGGAACGTCTGCCTGTAAATTTTCGAAATTAATACAATGTACAGTTTATACCGTTAGTTAATAGTTAGAGCCGTGGTAGCTCAGTTGGTTAGCGCTCGCTCTAAATTGCATGTACGCGAGCAAATCTGGTTCGATCCCCGCCGGCACCAATGAAATTGTTAATTGCAATTTTAAGTGCTGATTCACAACGTGCTCGGCGGTCAAGGAAAACATCGTGAGGAACCTGCGTGTCTAAGAAATAAAAATTAAAAAAAAATATTTCGAAAACACGTGAAGTTCGCCAACATGCATTGGGGCGCTGCGGACAATGCCTTGCCCTAAAACCATGTGCCCAGGAGTGGGACGTATTTAAACTGTAACTTTTAACTTTTTAACGGTTAATACCGCGTGTTTTAAAATATCCAGTCCAAGAAACCAGTCCATAAACATAACATGCAACAGGCTCTTGACAGGTGCATTTTACACTTAAATCGACCTACTAAGCAGCAATTCATTATGATGATTCAAGTTGATGACTCATTTAGTTCAATTGTTAGGTCAAGTGGCCCTGAGGATACTTATTTAATTTTGAATACCTTTATTAAGTACTGAGATAAACAGTCATAATCTTACTTAACACAACTAAATTCATTTGTACACTGAGGTAATACAAAATAAAAAATAACATATCAAAAAAAATCAGTAACACCTGCCTTTGTTGAACTGGCTGAGTAAGTTTCTGAGGCAGGTGCAAACTTTTTATGTGCAATTCTTAAACAAGTATGCTGTTATGAATCAATTTAGGTAAAAAGTTTAAAGTTTGAAATATAATTGAAATATTATGATATATAATATAATATACGGTGATACATATACATAGAAATAATATTGAAGTGTCTCTGTGTGTAATATTGAAATATATAAATATATAATCAAGATACCTTTAAACGAGCAATTCTTAAATTATATATACAGGGTGTTAGTGTAAACACCGTTGTCCTTGAAATCAGTGGTTTGGTTTCACTTATAGAACGTAAATTCAATGATTTTGATTAAAACTACTTTTACGGATTTTATCGCGTTTTATTTATATTAATTTTAATACCCGACGTTTCGGGTGCTTTCCAGCACCCATGGTCACGGGGGACTGAGGTGACTGACGTCCCGATGTCAAAGTTAACCCGGAGTACCTTCAGCTTTTTAATTATTGTCTTTGGTCCGATCTACGCAGAATGAACTAACTGTATTTTGAAGTCTTGCAGTGGTATGCTTGGGTTTAGTTTTAATTTTATTAATTATAGGATCCCAAGCAGGTGGTAGTACCCAGCCTCCTCTATTGAAATTAGGATGTTTTTTAATTTCTATAGCCTCACGTATCATCCTTGGTAGGAATCGATGTTCTTTCGCGAGGATTTGTGGTCTATCAAATCTGATGTAATGGTTGGGGCCATCTAGAATATGATCGCAAACTGCAGACTTCCCGGAACGTTGATGCTTCACGTCAGCTATGTGTTCTTTTACGCGGGTTCTAATTGATCTCTTTGTTTGCCCTATATATGAGAGACCACAATCACAATCAAGCTTGTACACTCCTGCATCTTGTAGAGGAATATGACACTTGACGGATGGTAAGAACTGACTAATCTTCTTCGGCGGCTTGTAGAATGTTCTAATAGAAGCTCGCTTCAATATGTAGCCAATCTTGTCTGTGACCCCTCTAACATATGGTAGTATAGCAGGCACACGCTCGACTGTGGCCGGCTTCACTCGGTCACTGTGACGGAGACGCGGGACCCGAAGCTTGTTGTCGTGCAGAACCTGCTTGACGTGCTGAAGCTCAGCGGCCAGGTGTTTGCTGTCACAGATCCCTCGGGCTCTCTGAAACAAAGATTTGCCCACGGTAGCTAACTGTGAAGGATGATGGTGAGATTCACCATTTAAGTATCGGTTTGTATGGGTCTTTTTTCTATACACAGTATGACCTAAGGTGTTGTTAGGATTTCGGATGACTAACACATCTAGGAAAGCTAAGGAATTATTTGCCTCTAACTCCATAGTAAATTGAATTTTAGGGTTTATGGAATTAAGATGTTCTAAAAATGCAGTTACTTTGTCTGATGGTAAAATTGTGAAAGTATCGTCTACGTACCGCTTGTAGAACCTTGGGGTAACAGGTGCAGTAAGGAGGGCTTTCTACTCAAAGTCCTCCATGAATATGTCGGCGACAATGGGAGATACAGGTGAGCCCATCGCAACACCATCTACTTGCTTGTAAAACTCTTCCTTCCACAATAGATAGCCAGATATAAGGCAATGTCTTAGTAGTACTGCATATTCTGGTGACATGTTATTTTCATCTAGTTTCCTAGTTATAATTGAGATGCAGTCTTCAACAGGTAGGCATGTAAATAGAGACTGAACATCAAAACTGACCATGGTTTCATTGTCAGCAAGACGTAGGTCTTTTATCTCACTGACAAAATGGTATGAATCCTTAGTATGTGCTCTTGTGTGTCCTCTGAGTGGTGATAATATTTTGGCTAAGTGTTGAGCCGTACGTTGGCGAATCGATTTGACTTACTATTGGACGTAATGGAGCGTTAGGTTTGTGTATTTTTGGTAACCCATACAACTTGAGAGGTTTTGCACACGAAGGTATCATCGAATTGACTGACGTCTAGATTCAATTTCTCGGAGTATTTCTTAATTAGATCGCTAGTTGTTTTAAGCGTATTAGTTGTAGGGTCTATTTTGACCTTACGGTACGTACTTTCATCCGACAAAAGTTGTTGTATTTTAAAATTGTAATCCGACGTATCCATTACAACCGTAGCATTTCCTTTATCTGCGCGGAGAATCGTAAGGTCTGGTCTGTTGCGTAAGGTTTTTAACGCCTTAAGTTAATTTTTGGGAAGTTTTAATTTCGGCGCTGTACTTCGACGTAACATAGACGAAATGTCTTGGCGTATGGCGTCTAAATCTTCATTACCAATATTATTTTTATACAGACAATCCTCAACATTACAGATAATGTCTTCATACGGGATTCTTCGCGGTGTAATTGCATAATTAAAACCTCTTCCTAAAACTTTTAATGTGGCGTCGTCCAGAGTATGTTTTGACAGGTTATAGACCACGCCTTGTTTACTATTCGTGTCTGTGGTCGTTTCGTTCTTACGTTGCCATTGATGTTGGACATTTGATTTAGTTGTTAATTTTTGGTATTTATCAATATGTTTATTTTTGCATTCATTGTATTTAGTTGTTTCGCGTTTATCTAAAGTTTCCATGCAATTCTTATAATCAAATGTCGACAAAACTGTCTTTAATTTACTGGACGAATTGTCTATGGTTTTGTTTATGAAACATAGATCGGTACGTTTTTGCTGAATCACCGTTATTAACAACTTTTTACTCGCCTGATTTAGGATCTCAGCGCTTCCTCGAATGTCTTTTTTAGTAGATATCTTGACACACGTAGGAATGAGATTATGATCTCTGCATCTCTTCAAGAAATTTAAAGCCTCAGTCCCCCGTGACCATGGGTGCTGGAAAGCACCCGAAACGTCGGGTATTAAAATTAATATCAAACGCGATAAAATCCGTAAAAGTAGTTTTAATCAATGTATAGTGTTCGCGTAAATATAAGAATTCAATGATTTTTTTAAAAAAAACGCTATTTTCTTTCATAAAATTTAAAAAGATTCTGTCCGACACCGTCCGTAAATTCATGGATACCCTATGCGCCCGAGTGACGTAATCACTGTAAAGATCACCGCCCGCGCTAACTATCTACAACTACATTCTAATAAAAACACAATAGGTACACATAACTAACTTACTCTACGTAACTTTTCCTTCATACTTTCATCCTGGCTTAGGACAAGCAAAAATTGAGGAATTATGGAAAAATTGAGATTTTACTAAAAAAAATGTTGTTATTTTTCATGGAATTTACATTCTATAAGTGAAACCAAACCACTGGTTTTAACGACAACGGTGTTTACACTAACAGCCTGTATATATAATCGGAATCTCGGAATCGGCTCCAACGATTTTCATAACATTTAGTGTCCAGGGAGTTTCGGGAGCAATAAATCGATCTTGCTAGGATTCATTTTTAGAAAATCTTGTTTTGTCCGTGTTTTTATGCAGTGAAAAACTGCTACATTATAAGAAGGTAAATTTTGACACTGTATTAAAAATCGTAATAGCTCAAGTGGATATCGGGCCGTCGCGAAATCATAGTACCCGGGTTCAAGTCATGTCTTCGGTCTTTTTTTCTTTTTTTTTTCAAGTTCACTTCTTTTGTGAGAAAATCTATTATTTCGAGCCCTTTTTTAGTATTTTTTAAAAAATACGAAAATATAAATTAAACTAAATTGCACTTATGATTTTTTATTCAAATAACCAGTTCAGTTTTTTTTTTCTATTATGTCAATAAGATCAAAAATTATTATTCATGTTTCATCAGTATGTAATTTATATCCAAATATAATTTCCAAAACACACGATTTCCAAAAAAAAAATACCGGGGAACGCTCGGTCGTCCAGGTACTAATAAAGATTATTTGCATGTCATTAAGACGTATAACAATTTTTAAAATTTTTGTCTGTCTGTCTGTGTTGTTTTGACTATCTGGACTAATGTTCGCTAAAATTCGAAATGTCTGAACCGATCATAAGAAACCTTGACAAACAGAGAAAAAGGCCAGGCGAGATATAGGCTAGGTATATAATTTTTTAATTTGTAGAATTTTTAATTACATATTAAAATTTTTAATTATATAATTTTAATTAATGAAATAAATAGTCTTTGATCTTATATCTAAATACGTCACGAATCTAGGGCGGGTTTGAATCCCGCACGGAATCAGTATTTGATTGGCCTACAAATAACTATTCTCTGTCTGAATGTTTGTCCTTATGCAGTATGTTTTAACAGGAGAAAGTCCTAGAGAAGGGTAAGATTTTTTTCAAATAAAAAGGAAGAAAAAATTATATTATAACAAACTCCTTTTATAGCCGTGGTGGTAGCCAGGGGCTGCCAATGAAGTTGTCAAGGTTAAGTTTTGATTTATCGTGAGCTGGCCGGTGAAGATAGACGTCGTGACAAAGTCTCCATGTGTTGGAAAAATAATTTTTAAGAACATTTAGAGTCCGCATACGCGAACTGGAACATCGCGTTCTCTAAAAAATGAGATTTGTGCCCAGCTGTGAGATATATAGAGATGGCGCTCTTATTTCCACGTTTTGCTGAATACTCAGTACCGGGAAGTGCACCCTCCCGAACAACTCCCGAACCATGGACTCGTACCACCGATTACGCCTGACGAGGTCCTCGCATCTCTTCGTCACATGGAGAATCGGAAAGCTGTCGGACCGGACGAGGTGCAAATTGGAGCGTGGAAAGCGCTGGAGGCTCGTGGTGTGTGCATTCTTACTAACCTTTATAATAGACGAGAAAAATGCCCGATCAGTGGCGGTTTAGTATAATAACGCCGGTCCACAAGGGTAAAGTTTCCGTTCAGGATTGCGGTAATTACCGCGGTATAAAGGTGACGTCACACACCATGAAGCTCTTCGAGCGCATTATTGACACCAGGATCCGACAGGAGTGTACAGTACGGTTTCCAACCAGGACGCGGTACCATGGACCCTATATTCGCCCTAAGGATCCTCATGGAGAAGCATAGGGAAAAGAATATGCCTCTGCATTTTTTATTCCTAGACCTGCAGAAGGCCTTTGACTGTGTTCCTAGGGAGATGATCTGGTGGGCGTTGCGGTCGAAGTTGGTACCAGAGACCTACGTGGAAATCGTACGTGATATGTACCGCAACTCCGATTCAATAGTCAGGACCGCTGTTGGTGATACCACACCCTTCCTCGTAACCGTAGGCGTGCACCAGGGCTCCGTCTTAAGCCCCTATCTCTTCAGTGTGATATTAGACGAACTGTCAGCCAGCGTACAGAAACTACCGCAGCCTTGGCTGCTTATGTACGCTGATGATATCGCACTGGTAGATGGGGACAAAGGACGGCTCACCAGACGCGTGCACGCATGGAGGGAGGCGCTTGCGAACGGCGGGCTGAAGCTAAATGTGGCGAAGACGGAGTATATGGCCTGCAACAGCACAGATCTGACGTCTCTCCGTATAGGTGACGACACCGTCGATCGCACGGACAGCTTCAGGTACCTCGGATCTGTGCTTGATGCGTCCGGGGACATCGATCGCGACATCAAGGCCCGTATATCAGCGGCCTGGGCGAAATGGCGTGAGGTGACGGGTGTCATTTGTAACCCCAAAATGCCGGTCAAGCTGAAGGGACAGGTCTATAAGACCATCATAAGGCCTGTCCTTACGTGTCTAAGCGTGGCCGGTGCCGGAGCGACACCGGCAGTTTTTGCATGTCACGGAGATGTACATGCTGCGGTGGATGTGTGGCGTCACGCGGAAAGACCATGTCCGGAATACATACATCCGTGACAGCTTCCATGTCCGTGACATTGCTGACAAGCCCCAGGAAAGCCGCGTCCGCTGGTACGGCCACGTCTTACGACGACCGGCAGGCTACATGGGAAACAAATGCCTGGACATGACCCTACTTGGTACCAGGAGTAGAGGACGGCCCAAGAAACGCTGGCTTGATGTCGTGCAGAATGACATGCGCGCCAATGGGCTAGTTGCGAGGGACGCCGAAGACCGGGCAAAGTGGAGGAGGAAGTGTAGGAAAGCGGACCCTGAGTTTTCCCGCGCTGGGCGGGATGAGCAACCGGGATAAACGCTAGGTAGAAGAAGAAGAAATATATATATATATATATATATATATATATATATATATACTGCCGCCATAAGGAAAAAAGACGTATCTAACATTTTTTCGGAATGGAGTTACATAAATGTTCTAAATCAGTAAAAAAAAAATGGCATCTGGTGGATGCCATTTTTTTTTTTTTTGGTTACAGTCTAAAAAATGATAAATCTGTAAGAAACGCCTTATGCACCATAACAAACAACATTCCAGTTGATAAGCGAGGAACCAAGCCTAATCCAAAAAAGTTGGACGACACTAAAATTGTAGAACATATAAATTCTTTTAATCCTTCAATTTCCCACTACTGACGAGAGCACGCTCCAAATAGAAAATATCTTCCGTTGACCTAACAGTGACCAGAATGTATCGAGACTTTTACGAACAACAAAACATGAAAGACCTTCCTGTTCACGAACAGATTTCTTATGGCTACTACAGAAAAGTTGTGAAGAAGTTAAATATATGTACAAAACTGCAAGAGTGTGAGGCGTGTGAAAAGTTTTTTATCCACAATCCGGAATACAAGAAGAAAAGACACAGAAATTGTCAAGAATGCCGAGATTACGAACGACACCGGGAAAATATACAGCCAGGGAAGCATAAAAAAAGATGTAAAAAAAAAAATAAAGCAAACATCACCTCAGATACTGCCTATTTTGCAGCTGATTTAGAGAAAGTAATTATGCTCCCACGCATTGAAGAATTTAAAATTGTAATGTTTTGCCCAAGAGTAATCGTATTCAATGAAAGTTTTGTGCCAATAGGTGACAAAAAAAAACAATGCTACTTTGCAAACCTATGCCGCGTAATAGCATGAAGCAATTACTGGTCGCAAAATGAGTGACATAATAAGCTGTTTCAGAGCTTTTTTGTAGGCAGAGACCTGAAAAATGTAGTCATCTGGTTAGATAACTGTGCAGCCCAGAATAAAAATTGGAGTTTATATTCTTATTTGCTCCATCTTGTTAATTCGGTCGAAGTCAATTATGAAACGATTACATTAAAATATTTAGAGGCCACACGCACCTGGCAGCAGACGAATTCCATCATCAAGTGGAGCAATCTATAAAGAGAAAGAAACACATCTATGATTTCGAAGACTCATCAAGCAGTATCGAACACCAGAACAAATGATTATCGTTAAAGTAATGAATATGGATGATTTTTGTCAGTTTGAAGACTGTTCTTCAACTTACAAACTACAAAATTCTCCCCCTCGTGCTTATTTATGTGATATGTGTGTATTAACATTCCTTAGAGGCACCCACATCATTTATCATAAGACTGCTTTCCACAATGAAGAAGAATACTCACTTGACTTTCTGAGATTAAAAAATATAAAATCTGGGATACCACCGCCAAAACCAAAAAATCAGTATAGAGGCATTACTCAAGAGCGCAAGACAGCTATCATACAAAAACTGACACCCTTAATACCAGACAACAGAAAATCGTTTTGGTATAATCTACCTACTGATAAAAATAGTGTTGATCTGACTCAAGTTGATGAAGACTAAATTTACAAGAGTTATAAAGCTGTGATTATTGCTAATATTAAGTATAATTTGTTCAAACTTAGATAGCTTTTTAATATTTGTTTTTAGAAGAGTTACTTAGAGTTGCTATTTTCTAGAGTAGCTATTATAAGTTCAGAGAGGTTTGTTATTGCTATTATTGTTTTTTTTTTTATTTAATGAAAAACATCATCGTAGTGTTACTTTGATCTCTCTCAAGATTAAGACTTAAATATAAGAGATTCCTTAAAAAGCTGTGATTATTACTAACTTAGATTGTTTTGATACTTAATTTGTGTTTCTAATAGAAGAGTTTAACGCGAGTTTAGAGTTTAACTTTATTTTATGAGAGGTTTGTAATTGCTATTTTTATATTCTTTAAAAAAGAAATATAAGCCTGATTCTCATACTTTGTGTTTTATTTAATACATGATAATTATCATGTTAAAACGTACTTCAGTTTAAATAGGGTTTAGGGTTGTTGGTGATCTAACAATGTGCAGGGTATTATTATTTTTTAGTTAATTGAATATTAGTATTACTAAGTTGAAAAGCAGCAAATGGCTATTAACGTCTTTTTAGGGTTCCGTAGTCAAATAGGAACCCTTATAGTTTCGCCATGTCTGTCTGTCCGTCTGTCCATCCTCGCTTAATCTCTGTGACCGTTAGCACTAGAAAGCTGAAATTTGGTACCAATATGTGTATCAATCACGCCGACAAAGTGGTAAAATAAAAATTGGAAAAAAATGTTTTATTAGGGTAGCCCCCCTATATGTAAAGTGGGAAGTGATTTTTTTTATTTCAACCCTAACGTGTGATATATTGTTGGAAAGGCATTTAAAAATGAATAGGGGTTTACTAAAATCATTTTTTGATAATGTCAATAATTTCGGAAATAATCGCTCCAAAAGTAAAAAACAATGTGTCCCCCCCCCCTCTAACTTTTGAACCATAAGTTTAGAAAATATGAAAAAAATCTGAAAATAGAACTTTATAAGGACTTTCTAGGAAAATCATTTTGAACTTGGATGGAAACACCCACCCACTACCGGGAGCAGTTGCAGGAGCGCGGAGCGCTGCTGGAGCGCGAACATAATGGACACCCACCTTTAAACTCATAAGTGGGAACACTTATTGTGACGGATGGAAAACTACGGAACCCTACACTGAGCGTGGCCCGACACGATCTTGGCCCGTTTTTATTATTTAGTTAACTAGAACCTGGTAACACATTATCACTAACTAGGAAAGACGTTTAAAAAAATACTAAGTTGAAAGGACGTTTCTAGCCAGAAGCGTCTTTTCATTGCCGTAAACCACTAAATTATTATTTGGTTTATTTCCTTTCGCACAGCGCATTTTTTTTGATTTTTTTAAATACATTTAATTTTTTTTTCTCTGTTTCGTACTTTATGTAGAAACGTCCTTTTTCCTTATGGCGGCAGTATATATATATAGTCTGTGCCTTTTAACTTTAAACTCTGTAATTTTCTGATTGCTAAGATTGGTAAACTTTTACTTTTATACCTTACTACAATATATCCTTATACCTCTCTACAAGAACTTCGAATCATAATAACTTAATTTTAAATGTGGTTTCCTTTAATTACTTTACAAACCCATAGCTTATGTGTATAGATCAGGGCAGACCAAAAAATTATTAAGATCAGGAAGTTTAACACCTCATCTTGAACAAGGGGAACCATGGGTGCTAAAAAGCATTCAGAACGTCAGAAGCGTAACATAATTTAAAATTGAAAAAGAACGAAATATGTAAAAATTACGCTTTATTCTAAATTGAATGAAATTAATTTATGTTCCAGATAGAATATTAGTGACTACAGACCATATGGTCGCAGAATACAAACCGTCAGTAGATAAACAAATAAGCAATAACACTAATATACGAAAATCAGAAATGGTAGAGGAATGGTGTGACAAAACGAACCTTGTTATGAACAAACTGTATCCGACTATACTTAGTGAAACATGTTGTTTATTGGAAAATGAATCAATCCCTTGGAAGAATTGCGATTGTATGGAATTGATAACAGATCTCAATAAAAATAGTACCTCACAACAAACTGAGATAAATGAAACTAACAGTAGTTTTAAGTCATGTTTATCGAAGCAATCAACTGAAGTAGAAATTAGTGGTATACATCGCTTAGAGCAAACATTGGACAAAACGAAAGACCATTTAAGTAACTGCACTCATTTAGCTTGCGATACAAAACAAAGGCTAAGCGTTTATGAGAATTTCTCACTACCTGGATCTCCAAAATGCATCACACATAAAAACTATAAAACAAAAACTAGTTTAAAGAAATGCAAAAATTACAACCATGAAACTGAAATCTGTTGTAAAATGCAAAGAATGACATTTAATGGTTCCCAGTCTAATCTCACTGACAATAGATCCGTAGATTTAGATAGAGCTTTAGCGGTAGTCCAAAATAAAACAAATGAGTGGTTGTCCACATGCAGTAGCAGCGACTTATCCGAAACAAGAGCAGGTAATACTAGGAGATCATCAGCAAGTAGTGGTGTAAGCAGTAACTATTCAGGAGGAAATATAGTAATAGCAAATGTTCAGGAGGAATATAAATATGAGGACAAAGACGAAGATGTAATATTAATTGAAAAAAGACTCCTTGTCTCACCAGTTGTGTAAGTATGTCACTTATTTAGATATATAGACTAATAAATTTAGATTGTGCTAAATTTATTTGTATACTTTTACAGCAAAATTGTATTACTTTTGAAAAAAATCGTCTTACATTTATGCAGACTGTGTCAAAGAGAAAGCAAAAATTTAATCTACAATTCTCACATTAATCATAGAATATTATGCAATCATTTTAAGTTGAATACATAGACAAGTTCAGCTTTACATCCTGTTGTTGCTAAAACATAATTCATTTTAATTTGCATAATATTAAAAACTCAGAACTTGTTTTTTCAATGTTGTTATATAAATTGTTGACTACCTGTTGGTTTAGTGGTCATAAACGCGATTGCTGATTATAAGGTACGGGGTTTGAATTACCTGTTGGGTCAAAAATCGGAGTTTGAGTTATTCTGTTAAGAAATTCTCATTGCCAGCAAGGACGTTGGCAGTGTTTCACCCATGTGCTTGGGAAAGCATGTGAAGCTGTTTGGTCCTGCGACGGATTGTATTTTAATTGATATCATTGTTTATAAAATTGAATTTTTAACAGGTTACCTATTGATGAATCAGATATGAGTACACCAGATCAAACCATTTTATCAGTTGCTTCCTCTTTACCATCGTCTATGGACTATGATGTAAATACATTACGAACAGAGCTGATTCGTCTCGGTTTTAATCCTGGACCTATACACGAAAATACAAGAACATTGTACCTGAAAAAATTGCAAACACTCAAGAAAAGTCCTATTGTTATAAACAAACAGGGAAAAAGTAAGTAAAATATATTAAAACTTTTTTTATATTGCTGCCTTGTCAAAATTTACTGTCAATTCTTTTAATTCTTTAATTTAAATAATATTTACAAGATTCTTATATTGATTTACTTTACTATGGTTTTTAAAACATTTCAAATAAAATTTCAGTTTTGGAAAAAACTAAATTTTAGAGGTCTTTTAAACATCTTTGTTATAGACTATTTAAGTTTTAGAAATATCTAAATTCATTTCTGTTTAATTACATATTGCATAATAATTAAATAATTGTACTTTAAATTTTATTTCTGCATTATGGTATTAACTGGAATAATAATCAACAGCATACAGCATAGAATTAGAAAAATCAATACGGACAGCTGATTGGATGAATGACTTAACACCATACATGGAGTTAGAAAGAAAAGCTCGGGCCGATTTCGCTAATCCGAATAAAAAATGGCGTGAAGGCACGACGAAAACCTCATTCACTTATCTTCTGCTTGACCCAAGACTCACAAACAATTTACCAGCTAAAGCTAATAAACAAAATCCTCATGAGGCATGGATTACATTCATTAGTTCTATATTTTATGTTGGAAAGGGTAAGTAATTCAATATGATGTACAACCAACTTGTACTATTATATCAATATGCACATGCAACTAATATGTAATTTGGCTATGAGCTTAATAAAATCTATCTTTGTATTACTATATATTAGACATTATGCCCATCTATGTTGCAAAGATAACTGACGAGACCCTTGTTAGAATCATAGTGACCTCAGTACCACCTTACATGCTGCTACAGGACTACTGCAAAATAATGATAGCGATAAATATTGTATCTCTCCCATTTTTACATAACCATATTGTCCTGCTAAGTTTATTCGTACCTGGAATAGTATGAAATTCACCAATTAATTTTTCTGTTTTCCAAAAAGCTTAAAAATGATAATTACTCAGCAGAACAAAAATACTTATCCATGTATTTATTGGGGAAAAAGGGTTCTCGAGTGGCAGCCTCGTACCGGTAGGCGAAGTGTAGGGCGACCCCCCCACTAGATGGGGTGACGATCTGATAAGACATGCAGGAAGTCGATGGATGCAGGTGGCTCAGGACCATGCTTTGTGGCATACCTTGGGGGAGGCCTATGTTCAGCAGTGGACATGTGAAGGGCTGTAATGATGATGATGATGATGATGATGTGTTTATTACAAGAGAAGCTGGAGATGTATATCAAGGGATTTCATTTTTATTTCAACAAAAAATATATATACAACAGGACCTCTTTAATCCGAACTCCGAAAATTTACTCCCCGTTCGGAATCGTGAAGCTTTCAGATTATACCTAGTACAGAGAATCCATAGGGTATTTTTTATGAAATGAAACAAATAGTATTGCTAAATTTTAAATGTACATTCATCTATAAATGTAAAATTTATTAAATTTTTTTAAAGAAATCAATATTTTAGTTTGTCGAGAGCTATTTAATGACAAATAAAAAACTTTGTCTCGCTATTTACTTAAAGTATTTTTTCTGGCACAGAAATGTCAGCCCATTCAAGAAATATATTTAACGCAGACACTGCGCCAAGTGGTGATCCGCCAGGAAACGGGGGGGCGGGCGTTCGGATTATAGAGATCCTGCTATACATTATTTTAAGTTAAAATGAAATAAAATTTCGATGCTAAGAATACATTAAAATTTTCAGGTAAACGTTCCAGACCCTACTCACATTTATATCAAGCATTAACCTTGTGGAAACGAGATTTTAAAACTTCAAATGATAAAAAAGTCCAACATATTTTAGACATCTGGTCTGATAAAGTAGGAGTGATTTGTCTCCACATTTTCCAAAATGTTATTCCTGCAGAAGCTTTTACTTACGAAGCTGCAATGATTGACGTTCTTGGTATACAAAATTTGAAAAATTTAAAAAGTGGAAATTACTATGGAGTTATAGCTTCTTGGCCTTTGAAAGAGCGACGTATGCTTGGACTGTATCTTTTGTATAAAGCCATGCAAATATTTCTGACTGAAGGGGAGCGGCAATTAAGACCTAGTGACATAGACTGATGACATTTTTAATATAAAAATTATTTGTATATTACAAAATGTAATAATAACATATTATACAGTATTATGTTTAAGAGGTAAATTTTTTTGATAGATTAGGTTGATAAAACTTGCCGAAGTTACGTACTGTGACATTTTTACCATGTATTTGACATACTTCTGGTACCTGTTTTAAGTATTTTGTGAATGGTTTTTATTTCCACTCGACCTGGAAGTTACTTTTTTGTACAGCCAAAGATTCCGTAATTGCATTATTACTATTTTCGTCTTGCACTATTTTTATAGTTATTGTATTCTTATTTAATTTTTTAATATTTGTCATTTGACTTTAATGTTAAGCTTTAATTTTATTTATTTGCACCAATAGTTTAAATTTAATTTTAAGTTACCATGAATTTAAAACTTTACATGCTTGGTTTCCTAGTCAAATTATAACTTACAAATAGCATAATTTATATGTGGCATTAGTTCATAAGATAGATCTTCCTTAAGTTAAGGACAAAAATAAAACACATCACAAAGAAATAATTTATCTTTATTATTCCTTTTTAACGTCTCCAATTCTCTTCTAAGAAAATCAAAATTTGCTTTAGTTACATCAAAAAATACACAAATATTGATATATAGATGCAACAATCACACAATGTGGTGTTGCATACCAAATGGATATTTGGTACATTAAAAAATAAACGAAAGCTGCTAAGTTTGCATTTTCGCATAAATCGAGTAATAAAAAGAAAACAATCAGTCTATAATGTTCGGGAGTTGCATGAGATCATGTTAGTTATCCATGCTCTCAAAACATTCACACAACAAATCATATTCGAATGTTAATAGTCTACACGAAATTAATCCCTTTTACTTTGGAACATTACTCGTTTTATTACCTTGATTTTAATCAGAAATATTCCAACTTTTTACATAAAAGAGAACAAACAATTAAGTAGCATTTGCAAGTAAACCATGCAAAATATTGGATGTAACCAATTACAATATAATAAATTAAAGAGAGCCACTTGCACCTAAATGAAATTATTTAGTGTATCACAAAATAGACAGTTGTCACATTCTTGCTTATTAAAAATGATAATGATTTCTTTCTCATATTATAAGTAAACTTAATTGAGTCTCGGTTGTTTTTGATTTATATGAGTATAAATGTTCATACATCAGGGTTTAAGCCGGCCAGATGTAGCCTTCATTCTAGCCAAATTATATTTTCGACTTAGCTTAGGAAATAACAGTTTGTACTGAAGAAGCTCTAACTGTTTCAATTTTATATACAAAACATCGGCTAGGCAGTTTGTTGCACATATGCTTCAAAAAAACAGTAGATCAATGTAAAATTAAGTTTCAAATGTACAATTAAAAAGCACTGGTTTCCAATTTTCCGACATATTGATTTATAAATTTTATATAACTTAGGTATTTAGGCCCTGCTTTTTATATAAATATCGGTTTTATTTAAGACAGGTACACAAGTACATTGGCTTTAATGTGTCATTAAATTAAAGTGAATCACTACATGTATTTACCTCATCTCTAGTGTTATAAATGTTTCACTACTTACATCAAAATGTTTCTTACATTCTCCCGAAGTCCACACTTGTGTTATAGCCGTTTAGCCCAGATTATAATTACAAAGCAACAGTCATTCTATTGCTTTTCCAATATTAATAAATAGGAAATTTAAATGTAGACACAAAAAATATTGCAACAGTCGCATGAAACAACCGACTGGAAGACTATTTTGTATGAAACAATACACCCAACACATTACCAAACAGGATACACCCAAATAGCATTTAATTGTAAAATGCAGCTCTTAACTATAATGCTGTACTGAGGGTATGGAGACACTAATCCTTTTAACAGAGAATATTGGAGTATGAGATTTAATTTTTCTTTACAATAATCATTAAAAGCCAGACATACATTAACGCACAGCAATATTCAAACACTCCACGATGCTATAGGATGCTCTCTACTTTATATATAAATAGTCGTTTCTCATTAATATTGAGAAAGAGTATGATTTGTGCACACTACGACTCATATTGTAATGATCACATTGACGCCTTTAAACTTACACTAACTTAGTTTATTATTTAATTAATCTTAAGTTTTAAACTAGGTACACTTGATTTTTGTTGCTTTGTGGAATGCTCTTTTCATCTAAAAATTTTTTAGGCTGTACTTGCATACTTCGGTATCAGATGAAGGGGCGTAAAACTTCAGTACAATGCCCAAAGAGGGAATTAAAATTCGATGTTTTATATTACAATTAATTCGCATGGGACTAAGTAGGGTAATTTACACATAACGCTAGTATGTACAGAACTAGTTTGTGCTTTCACTAGTTAACATATTTAAAAAACAATACCGTGAGGACAGCAAGTGCGAAACGTCCAAACCACGTCCACAGTATCGGTGTATACACAACGTTCACAACATCCAATTGGGAAGTCTTTGAAACACAACACTCTTCATCTACAAAACTTCAGGTAACTATCAGTTCGTACACATCCTATTACATTCAAAGCGCACGTCACATTTACTACACTTTTTATGTGGATTACGCGAGATCACAGAGTTTAATTATGGCTATGACAAAATATCGACCGGCGAATCACTGTCAATGTTCGACTTGTCCGTTCACACAGGTCATCTGTTACATCACATTGTTCGTCACTATTCATGAAGTTTGTTCTTTCCGGTTTGTTGACATGCATGTCCACTGTTATCTTTGCGCTCCTTTAGAGTCTCAGGGTTCCCGCATGTCTCCAGGCCGTGGTGGTCACACCACGACGGTTCTCTGATGGAGGAGTCCTAATTCGTGAGTTAGTTTGTTCATTTTGGCGGTGTCGGGAACGAGTTGACCACCGCTTGAGTGCTCGCTAACACCGCAGCCGCTGCAAAACACAATCTTCCATTAGTGCCCCTTTCGCACGCACCCTTCATCTCTCTTTCACTATTTCTTTCGAAAGGCATCTCTCTACAGTGAAATTACACGGTCTACGCGGGGCTTGGCCGCTTATCTGCCGAATGCTATCGCGCCCCTGCAACCAATCACAAGACACAGTTAGAGGCAACCGACGCTAACAGCTGTAGAGAAGATGCGTTCCAAAAATAATATAAATGCATTGGAAAAAAGGCATTTCTTTGTCACAACTTCCTTTGACATTAAAAAAGCATTACAATACATAACATGTTTTATAAACTTCGCTTTAATATTTTTATGATAGCCTAGTACACGGCTAATTTAGTAATAGTAAGAGAGATACACAATTCAAGTATATATATAACATATTTAAATAGAATGATGATGACTATGTAGCCTAATTGATAACAGTGTACCTCACTATGGCCATGGTCCTGTGTTCGAATGTAAACTGGAGCTAATATTTATTCCAAAACATTATTTATTCTTACTAAAAACTACCTTCACTGCTGACCTTTTTAACCTCACAAATGGTCCTCCAAACCTACATATACACCAATAAATATTTAATAACTATCGGTAGGATTAGATATGTGTCTATATTGAATTGACAGCTTCCAAAAGTATTAGAAAATTGATGCCATGGTTGAGGTAAGCCTAGAGGTCAATTTCTGGCATAGATATTTTAATTCTTATAAATTTCATCAATTGAAAAGGCTAAATAATTTCAAAATAATAAAAAATAGTTTATTCAGTAAATGATCAATCAATGATTATAGATAAATTATAACCGGGGATGGGGTCTCCTTTTAAGTTGTTAATCTTTTTTGAATATTTTTTGACAATTTCTTAGAAATAAGTTATTTTTGTAGCCAATGCAAGGATTTGTTTTAAACGGAGCTCTTTGGCTTATTGTTGAACTAATAGCAATATTAATTTCATAGTTGATTTACTAACAAAAGTTAACAAGAAATAATTGAAAATTCGTGCAAAAGCTTTATAATTAACGCTAACTAACACAATTAATAGGGATGATATTAGGATAGCAATTTAATTATGGTATGTCTTATGAACATTCAAAACGACAAAGTAACGAAGGATGAGTGCACATTGGTGAGTATCACACCTAAACAAGTACCTCTTGTTTTTTCGATTTGTATCGTGAAAGGTTCAAAGGTATGTGTCATCTAAATAGTTTACAGGCTGACGAAAGGGAAAGAAAGAGTTTATTTATGGACCCCAAGAGTCAGTGAGTGAATCGTTTTTGCGTCAAAAGTACCAGGTAATTAGTAATGTGAAAGAGGTACATTTTGACAACGTACCAGGATATGGCGGCGGATAGAGCGGGTAACCGAGTCCGACGTGCGTGTGATGATGCGTGTGCACGTGCCGCTGCGGCGGCGGCGAGCGTGTGCCCTCCTTAGGTGCCTCCGCTCGCGGTCCCTTTCCCACCGGCGACTTCGCGTGCTCCTGCAGTTCGTGAATCTTATGCGCTCCGTGTGCTCCGTGCCCACTATGCCCTCCGTAATACTGCCCCGGAGGTATCAGTTCCAACTTTCCCGGTGCGCCCGGCCGGGAGAGATCTTCCGGCGCATGATACCTTGGTACCGTCCAGCCCCCTCCGTAGCCGCCAACCAGCATAGGGCTCAATGGGGCTCGGTATACCGGGTCAAATGGCAATGCACCGTAGTGCGGAGGTTGCATGTACGGTGGGAGATAGTATTGGGATGTCGGGGGAGGGGGCGGGCCTTGTGTCTCTGTAGTCGGTTTCTGGCCCTCTTGTTTCACCTGAAAATAATAGACGGTAGTAATTGTAATAAAAAACTAAATAGATTATTTAATTGTCATCATGCCACTGTGAGTTTAACGTTATTCACTAATATTTCCCGAGGTAAGGCGACCAGAAAGATCCGCGATTTAGGTACAATCCAATTATAAATTTGTAATCTAGTGCCAAGCTTGACATAACATGGTATCCTACATCTTCAGGAGAATACTGTTTCTAGTAGTAATATTTTCAAGTTAAACAAATGTCAATTGGTATTTTCATTTACATAAT